TACTCAGTGAATTTTGTTATTATAGCTTTAGCGGCTTAGGAGATCTGCACATTAAACATATTAGGGGAAGGGACCACGCCCACTTTAAACAAATTTTAAAATGCAGAGGCCCCTCCCTAATGTGATCCTGTATACCAAATAACAGTCTTGTATCTTATTGTGGAGCTTAGTTATGACAATTTATTTGTTTTTGATAAATGGAGTTTTGTGGGCGTGACAGGGGTCCGATTACGCCCATCTGCAATACCAATTGTTTTACGGTTCATTTATATATACGATTCATTTATATATCAAATATCTCCCTTCCGCTTTTTTGTCTTTTGAATTTCGCGGCTATGTACAAAGCGCTACAGAGCTCGTATCTGGCAACACTATACATAATTTGGCCAAGCCGGGATTGACGGCCAGGGAGGTTTTGCTGTGTGTTTGGTGGAATTGGAAAGGAATCATCCACTATGAGCTGCTCCCATATGGCCAGACGCTTAATTCTACTATCTACTGCGAACAACTGGACCGCTTGAAGCAGGCGATCGACCAGAAGCGTCCAGAATTGGCCAACAGGAAGGGTGTAGTGTTCCACCTCGTCAGAAGCTACGGGAGCTCGGATGGGAGGTTTTATCGCATCCACCATATAGCCCGGACGTAGCGCCAAGTGATTACCACCTGTTCCTGTCTATGGCGAATGCCCTTGGTGGTGTGAAGTTGAACTCAAAAGAGGCTTGTGAAAAGTGGCTGTCCGAATTCTTCGCAAATAAGGAGGGGGGCTTCTACGAGGAAGGTATTATGAAGTTGCCGTCTAGATGGAAACAGATCATCGAACAAAACGGCGCATATTTTAACTAAATCCGATCACTGTAACACTTTTTATAAAGCATTGAATGAAGAGCAAAAAAGCGGAAGGGAGATATTTATATATATATATATAACGCTATATCTAACTCGATTAGTTTTAGGTGATACAAACAACCGTTAGGTGAACGTTTGAAAAACTATTATACTCTGTAGCAACATGTTGCGAGAGTATAAAAATGTAGCGACAGGGTTCAACTTCATTGTTTGACGAAATCATGAATGAATTGTAATCAAATTTGGTATAATATAAACTTATTTTGAAGGTCATAGACATAATTTTATTACTATACTTGTATTTTACTTTCCGGCATCGAAAATTAAACTAAAATCATCCTCAAATAAGACATAGATACGAGTATGTGATATAAACTCAACCGAAGAGGCTAAATTTAAAACATTGAATTGATGTGAAAAACGTCAACCAAACGATCAGAACTCATTGTGTTAGGGATATGAGTTTTAGACCAAGACCAATTTCATTTTTATTGAGCGCCAAACTATTAATATAATTTTATAACTTTTAAGAAATTATGTCCACTTAATTTCATAAAAATATTACATACTTTGACCAATCTAAACGGTTTGATGTCAGTTGGAGAATCGGAAATCATTATATAGAATATATTGGAGAAATGAAAGGGCTGATTGCATTAATTTTTGATATTGCTCGGATATACTTGTACTTGAGAACTTATTTTCAAACAATTTTATAAATATGGTATATAAATATAAACATATATATGGAGTAAAGTCAGCCAGATGTTTCAAAATCCTGATTATTAGTTATACCTATGTCAAGTTTTTGCCCGATTCTGTTTCAATTTTAGGCAGAATTGTATCTTTCTGCTATTTCCTACTAAAAAAATATTTCATTAAATGTGGGAGTTATTGTACAATAGCTGGAAGCTCGTAAGTTGAAATACCTTGAGGGCATTATTTGTGTAATGTTTTATTCTGATAACTTCATTGATGCTTGATTCGTATACTGTAAAGGGAAAGAATTAGATGTCTCGTTTCCCTTTAGTACGTTGCTTGGAAATTGTCCAAGATTATTACGCAAATTCACGGCCTTCGGAAATCCGAAAAATCATTTTCTCAGAAGGAAACCTTTTCTGGTTTAATGTCTTCTTCAACAAAAAAACTTGTGGCTATTGGGGTAAATCAAATCCTTGTGTGGTTTAGGAATCGTAAATGTATCCCTATCAATTGATCGTTTGATGTTAATTGTGTGGCGGCATCATTGGGCCTTATTTCTTACGAAATGAGGCAGGAAATGCTGTTATTATCAATAGTGAGTGTTATAACACGATGTTGACCAACTTTTATCCCGGAATTTGATGAATCGACGCGGATTATCTCTATTTCCAACAAGACGGCGCTCCGCCTAATGTTTCACGTCAAAACATGGACACATTGCGTGCAAAGTTTGGCGACTCGTTAATTTCGAGAAATGGCCCAGTCAAATGGCTGCCAGAATCATGGGTTTAACCCTTCTAGATGGTTTTCTCTGAGAGTATGTTAAACCAAAGGCTTACGCCATTTAACCAGGAATGTTCGAGGAGCTCGAAGATAACATTCAGCGCACTATAGCCGAAATTGCTGCAGAAATGCTGCACTGGGTCATCGAAAACTGACGTAAACGAGTGGAGATATGCAAACGAAGAAGTGGTAGCCATTTGGCCGATATTTCGTTCAAATTAAAAATGAGATAAAATCATTCACATAACAAAAAAAAAACATAACCCATTTCGACCAAATTTGAGTATTTTATTTCATTTTAACATCTCGTAGTTCTTGTTGGCAGACCCTAAAGGTATCCGGTGTCACGCTCCTTGTCCAATTTTTATACATGCACCCATAAAGCCCTTCCCTACCATCCTGGTTGTGAAATTTAAAGCTTCTGGCGCATATATTCAGTGAGTTATAGCAATTTTAATAGTTTTCAACATAATTGTTATATGGAGAGTGGGGAGTGAGAATTTCTTCTCAGCAAGTTTGGTTTATTTAGCTTCAGCGATTTGGAAGGTACATTAAACCAAATAGGAGGTTAGGCCACGCCCATTTTTAAAAAATTTTTAGCCCACAGGTGCAACTCGGTACCAAATTACAGTTTTGTGTCTTAGTTATGACACTATATAGGTTTTCGTTTAATGACGTTTTGTGTGCGTGGCATTGATCTGATTATGCCTATCTGCAATACGGACCTCGCTTGGGTACAAAGGAACATGGTATCGTTCCGTTATGTGGATAAAAATTTACTCGAGGTCAGAGATCAGAAACTGTTTTGTCATAAAAATGCCGCAGACAAAAATTGAATATCATAAAATTATCTATAACATGTAAGAATGGTAGACTCACTTAGCCTCAGTACTATATTTTCCTTTACATGCGGAATATTGGTACTAAAATCAACATAGTTAACTCGAATGAGCGAAGGGCTGGATTTAATGCATTAACTTGTGACATTATGTTACTCAAGTATATTCTGAAAATGTTTCCACGAGTGACATATGCGGCATAAAGACTGCTAAAATAATAATAAATCATTATATTTATGTTGTAGATGGTAGCTCGGGTAATTCGTTGACCAATTTTACGCATTTTCTATATTAAGCTATAATTTATCATAATTACGCTTAATTTTGATATCTTATTTTACATATTGACTGATAATATACGACATAAATGCAACCGGAGGTTTGAAATGCTTATAATGGGTATATGGGAGTAGGGGTAGTATTGACCCGATTTTATTTATTTTTGGCATTACGATATATTATTATCAGAAACATATATTTTATAAATTTCAATGAGAAACCTCGAAAATTAACCGACATGTATGTTATATTATATTAGGTACATAGGGTCTAGAGAAAGTATTGAACTGATTTTATGCATTTATGCCACGAGGGTACATTATTATCAGGAAAAGCCTGAAAGTCTTTTCGAATTTCAATAACATAGGTATAAAAATATATATATATCATTATTTCCGATTATATCTCAGAAATGGTAGCTCTTAGGAAAAAATATATTAATAATTTTTTTATAGATAATTTTACTTACTTATCTATTTTACTGTCAGAAATAACAGATGAAGAAGGAACTCCACAATTACAGCTTTTTATTTTATTTTATTTTATTTTATTCTTGTAAGTAACACAAAAACTTATAAACAATATAAATATTTACAATTTATTTTATTTCTCCATTTTGTGCAGGTATATGATTTTACATATGTATGTATAAATGTTATTCTGCTTGTAGTTATGCATGTATGTATACTTTTGCAAAGGTAAGTATGCAAGTAGGCTTATTGTAGACTGACAGTGAAGTAAATTTGTATTAACTATATCGTCTCACGTGCATATTTTTGTATTTTGTGTCTAATCATAGGTAAAATATAAATGTAAGTGTAACATGATTTAAATTGTCCTTAAAATATGTGTAACAAAGCTTTATTTTTCACTTGTAAAGTGCTTTATTTGAACATCAGCATATTTGTTTCATAAACATAAATCAACAATATTAAAGCGAGTTTCCGAACTTTCAGCATTATCGTACTCTTTTATTATTTATTATTATTATTAATAAACATATCTTATTATTGCTATTTTAACTATTATTATTTTCATTTAATAACATTTTCCTTCATTTCTACTCTTTAAACTTCGCTACAATTTTCTTGAGATTTCGTTTGAATGGAAGGAACTATGGACGACTCAGCTTTGTCCGCAAGTTACAAACTACTATTTGTCATTAGCAGCTAATAATAGAACTTAACTTGACGCTAGACTTTGTTATCTAAACTAATGAAATTTACTATTATTTCGTTAACTGCTGTATAAAGTAAAAACATTGTAAATAATACAAAAATATATTTCAAAGATTTTCTCTTGGATTTCTTTGCTTTGCGATTCGTAGAATATGTATGTACATACATGGACCTTTTTGTTAGCGCTTGTCTTCCGATTGGCTAATGATTTTTTATACTACCATATTGGGAAAGAGTGAAAATCGTGTAAAAGAAAAAAGGCTATAGCTCTGTATCCAATGAGGCTACAAAACTGATATTTCTTACAAGCAGAAACATTTTTGAGGATGACGAATCACGAGCAAGTGGGATGGCACCTCCCACGTTCAGGTGAAATTTCACATCTCACCAACTTCTTTATTGCATAATGACAATTGACCAAATTGGGTTTTAACCGCGTCTACTGCTTCTGTAAAGAATTACATATATATAAACCCCCATCATAAATAAGTACAAAACTTAGTATGGTATAATGTACTCTGGATATGGTAATAATAAATAGTTGACTGCTCCTCTGTCTTCCGTCATATACGTAATTTGCGAATTGAAATTTTTTGACGAAATTAATTCATAGATGTCAATTTTAAACATATACCATATAAATTAATATCCGTTGTTCATGTTGACTATGGACCACTATCGAAGTTATTTTAATTAAATCAAGTGGAGTTGCGATTTGATAACCGAAAGAGGCAAAAATACAGCCTAATAATAAGTGCTGATTTCCAAGTTCATATGTTTTCTAATAAAATGTTTAATATTTCGAAATATTTCACACTTATTAGGTTTTTAAAACTTTAATAATTTATTCGAAATTAGCTCTGCTTTACTTGTCCTAATGAACTTGTTCTTGTTCTGAGCTAACAATGCTTTGGGACTTTTCAGTCATTTAAAATTTGAAGAGTTTTTACCATATATTACAACTACCACAATCATAAGCTACGATCACAGAAAAAATAATTTTTTTTTCTTAAGAAATCAATTTTAAAGTCATGATTTGAAATTTCTCTTTTTATAACGCTTTTATTAGCGTAAATGTTTGTATATTTGTAACTTTCAGTGGTACTGAAACTGAATGGCACTGGCAAAAGAACCAACAGTTTGATAGGCACTGCAAAAAAAAAACTATGTAGATAAAAGCACCCACTTTTCATGCTGTCATTTGAATAACAAATGGTTTGTGTTATATTTTTCGTATAATGAGCAGAGCATATCAAACTTCTCACAATATATACATAAGAATTTTTCGGTCAATATTTCTGTCAGTTTATATTACGAATTATTTTTCACTTTTTCTTTTTTTTGACTATATTTATTCATATGAGACAGAGATATTATAAGGTGAAACATATGTTTTTTGCATTTTGGTTACATAATTTATTGTATTTCAAAAGGAAATTGTCTATTAAAATGTCTATTAAAAAAGGTAAAAAGAGTAATTCCTATTAAAACAAGTACTTGAAAACCAAAAAGTACTTAGATTAATGTGAAGCATTTTTTAATTTTAAATATATTTCTTACTTTTTACATCAACCTAAAGTTAGCTTTAAATCATGGCGTATTATCTAGATCAATTATTCCCCCGTCAAAATTTAACATCAGTAGAAGCAACCTCTGTCCATAAATAGGTTTTCGAACTACAGTCAATATCAGAATGTATATACATATGTATATCACACTAGACTTTTAATATTTTTTGTTCACACATTTGTACATACATACATATATTCGCTGGCGTAAATGCAATTATTTATTATCTAATAATTGCCTTGGTTTGTATATATTATATGTAAGTATGTATGCACGCATGTGTACCCACATATCTCATATAATAGGCAGAATTGAATAAACACTTATGTATTTAGATGTTTATTTAAATTTAATTAGACACTTTTTGTAAATACAGTATTTCACAAGAAAATTAGAATAATTATGGATTTTCATTTCATTTACAACCATTTGTAGGATAAAGCGAAAGTGTAAAAAATACGCCTTAATTGTGGATGTTTAGCGCTTTGGAGGACAGAAAAGAAGACATTGTTAGATATTAGCAAGCATTTCAACAAAGTCAGCAGGAAGTCATTATCGGATTAATTGGTTGCTAAACTAATGTTTTTTCTTTGAGGGGAGTGCTGGATAATTACCGAGACAATATCGGTTAAATTTCTTTGAAAGTAAATATATAGACGATAGCAATTATATCATGCTGCCACACACTAAAATAGGCTTTTAAAATCATGCCACATTTAAAAAATTATCTAAAAGTTTATATAGGGTATATCTTTGGTCCGAAAAATTGTCAAATATAAACCTTTTTCAAAATATTGGTTATATCAAAGCGTTAATTGTGGCTATTTCGAAGAACCACAATGAGACATAAATGTGTTTATCACTGAAAAAATAGTTAAATTTTAGTTTCTAGTATACTGTTATTTGGGTGGAGCGAAAAAAAATTTTTTTTGCTTAGCCTGAGGGTAAAATCTGTAGATTATAAAAAAAGAAAATTATTTAACATCTAGAGGTGGCCCACTCAGTTTTAAAGTTAATTTCGAGTTAAAACTTTTATTTGGTAAAAAAGTTTTGATAAGTGTTCTAGAAGCTGTGGAGAGACCTCTTTCTGGCCAATTAAAAGTTATCAACTTAAAAATTTTTTGTGGTCATTATTGGCGTTTTGAAAAAAAGTCTTAAACGACAACATGCTTTCCTTAAAGGTCAAAATAAATTTTGAGTCAAAAACCGTCACACTTTGTAGTTTTAATATAAATGTAAAGAGTTTAAATAAAATAATTTTTTTGGCCAAAAAAAATTTTAACTCGAAATTTACTTTAAAACTGAGTGGGCCGCCTCTAGATGTTAAAAAATTTTTTTTTGTCCAAAAATTTTCGTTTTTTATAATCTATAGATTTTACCCTCAGGCTATGCAAAAAAAAAAAATTTTTTTTCGCTCCACCCCTCTGTATATATGTATACATATATGTATGTATGTATGTATGTCTACACAAATTATTAATTAATAAACTGTTGTCAAACTTTTTTTGTATACTTAATTTAATGTAAATATAATTTACAACTGTAAGTCACTTATGTATGTATGCTGCTAGTGAGAATAAATTAAATAATACATGTATGGAGTGCCATATATACAATCACTTTGACAAAAATGTATATATACTCATTCTGGCATATTGATGGATCTGTGTATGTATGTATATATGTGCGTATTGTAATTGTAGGTGCATTAATTCATACGTACATATGTCGCTTAAAAGATTCAAATACATAATTATATCCATACTTATGTAGCGTGAATTTCTAAAGTGTGTGTGTGAATAATTCTGTAAAAATTAATCATTAGACCCTATTCTAAGTAGAACCAGGGAATGCCAACCCTTTTTAGTGTGAGAGCGCCTCAAAATTAGCGTTTTTATAACATTTTCGACTGTAGCCAAATCGGACAAAATAATAATTTTTGGGCATTTAAATTATAATAACTATTTAAATCCATTTTTGTGATTTTGTGATATATTAAAACAACTGATTTTTGAACTTTCAATACATAAAAAGTGAAAAAATGTATTAACTCTCAATTAGTAAATGTTTTTTTTATCATTTTCAATTTAGTTGCAACGCAGAAATCAGTTGTTCTCTTTTGTTTTTATTTCACCAATGTTGCCATTGTTCTATTTGTATACACGATTTTTCACACATTTAGTTTTTTAGTAGAGAACGAGAATCTTGTTGCTAGACTAATAACTGCAACAAATGCTTCTCTTAGATTGTAGGTAGAGGAGTTGCGAAGGCTACTACAGGATTTAACACAGTCAATTACAGTCGTTGATTATAACATATAAGTGATCGATCCACATATAAATTGTGATGAGTCACTTAAGGTGGTCAAGCCACTACCAAAATTCAGTGGAAAACAATCTAAATACGTTAGCTGGAGGGAATCAGCCAATAACGCAATGAGCTTATACTATACTGAGAAATAAAATTAGAAATTATGCTAACGACATTTGATCCAATCACGAAAAGGTTTTTAATTTCGATGCCATTTTGGCCCGACTCGATTTTGTTTTCGCGGACAAGCGCCAGCTCATATTATAGAACAGGAGATGAGCATTTTGCGACAGGGCACTTATTCAATTAGTGAATACTATAATAAGGTTAATGAAACATTAAGTTTACTAATTAATAAAATGATAATGACTTACGGATCGGATAGTGCCGTAACTAAAGAATTAAACGCAAAAAATAGGCGGGATGCGTTGCGTATATTTATAACAGGTCTAAATGAAAATTAAGCCAATATATTATTTTCACTATCACCAAGTGATTTGCCAAATGTGATGACAAAAGCACAAAAATTAGAATCAACTACTATGCGAGCAATTTTCTCATCACAATTCGGGAACAATCCGAATCATTACATACAATGTACTAACTTCAATATCGCAAATTTCAATAATAATTTACGGTTTCCACAAATTCAATTTCAAAAAGGCTACAATCAAAGGTCATTTCCACAAAATATTCAGCAAAGACCTATCACAATGGATGTCGATCCAAGTACACGAATCCAAAAGAGACAACATTATAACGTAAATAATAATGTACAGAATACAAGAATGAATGCTACAGATAAACGACCATATGCCAGCGCACAACTAAGTAATCAACAACCAAAAAAAAAAAAACACAAATGATAAATAATAATAAAGAGGATCATTTTTGAAATCAAAACTAACTCTGCCATATATTTTCATACATGACAGGATTTATGGCCAAAATTTTAAAATACTAGTAGATACGGGAGCAACAAGTTGCTATATAAAATAAGGAATTTATGAGAATAAAAACGAATTAAATATATATAAAAGAGTAAAAACAAATAATGGATTTTCAAAAATACGTTATTATCATTTTATTACTCTATTTGGTAAAAGACAAATTTTTTACGAAATCGAAAATTTGGAAGCAGACTTTTTAATTGAATACACATTTTTTAAAGAAATTAATGCAGTGATCAACTTGAAAGAGAAAAAGTTGATAATAAATAATGAAAAGGAAAAAGACATATTTAGCTTAGGGGGTGAGGTCTGCGCAACACAAGGGTACAGGAAATTTAAAAAATGAAAACATTAAGGGAGATATAATTACTTTGGGAGCAGAGACTCCTAAAGCGCCAGCTGAAGATTTATACCAGCATAATGAAGATATTAAAAATAAACAAGAAAAAACGTTAACTTCGGTTGCGCCGAAGCTATAATACCCTTCACAAATACAAAGGCCCCTTACAAGAACTTGATTCCGAACGTTCAATTTGTATGGCAGCTATATGATATAGTGATCTGATCTGACCAATTTCTGTGGAGAATAATTTGTTGCCTTAAGCAATAACTCGTGCCT